CCCATCGTTCGGCGCCAGCCCAGAAGGTAGCATGTGTGTGTGTTCTTTACAGTGTGTTTACAGTGTGCCGTGCGTGCGTGTGCGTGTGTGCATGCGCGTGCGCGTGCGCGTGCGTCGTATGTTTGTCGCACACTGATTCAGCAGCCCCCTTCTCGCGTTCACACGCACACACACACACGCGCGCCCGATGTTGCGTTTACACCGCTTCGCTCCCCCTTTTTGTCCATCAGGTGAACTGATTGCGCACATTGGTAAGGCGGCGCAAGAATCGAACATTGTGCGAATGTTCCAGTGCAATGAAGTGCACGCATCCCTCCTCTACCCAACACACCTCGCCCTCACCCGCTCACACATCCTCAAGGTGCGCTGGATCTCTCTCTCTCTCTCGTGCGTGCGTGCGTGCGTGCGTGCGTGCGTGTGTGTGTGTGTGTGTGTGTGTGTGTGTGTGTGTGTGTGTGTGTGTGTGTGTGTGTGTGTGTGTGTGTGTTTGTTTGTGTCTGTGTGTGGAGTCATGCACATACGACTCTATTCCAACCATTATCATTGCTCCTCACTACCTCCTGCTCATCCCACTCCGTGCGAATCAACAGCTTCGGGAGATTGAAGGGCGAGGAAATCACGCCGTGGTGATGTGGCGCCGTCCCCTCACGTCCATTCTTCGCATCACAGCAAAGAAGAAACACCCAACCTTGCTCTCCTTCCTCTTCACGGTGTGTGTGTGTGTGTGTGTGTGTGTGTGTGTGTGTGTGTGTGTGTGTGTGTGTGTGTGTGTGTGTGTGTGTGTGTGTGTGTGCATGTGTGTGTGCATGTGTGTGTGCATGTGTTGGTAGTCATGCAGCTCGACTTGAAGCGTCCTTGCGCCACCACTGTCGCGCGTTCCCTTCCCGTCTCAAACCCCCCCCCCCCCAAAAACGCACACACCACACAGGACGAGAGCATGTCAGAGGAGGCAATTGCGCAGGCGATGGCCAGGGCCGGCATTGTGGAGCAGCCGGCGACGCCAAGCGAGGCGGGAAGCGGTGTTGCAGCGAGCACGACAGGCAAGGACGACATGAAGGCAGAGGAAGGCCAGAAGCAAGGCGGAAAGGGCGAAGAACACACAAACAAGGAGGAAGAGGAGGAGGAGAAGGGTGAGGAAGCTGCGCCTGCTGCAACGGCTGCATTTGCAATTGACGACGATGATGAGGAGGAAGAGAAGAAGGAGCAGGAACAACAGGAGGCAGAGGAGGACCAGGCAGAGAACAAGGAAGAAGACAAGGAAACTGTGGCAGAGGTAGACAAGAGCAGCAAAACGGACAGTGTAAGCAGCAATGCGGAAGCAGCAACCAGTCCTGCTGAAGAGAAAGACGTTGGGGGCAGCGTTGCCAAACCCGCAGCAGCAAACACAGCAGAAGCACAAGCACAAGCAGAAGCAGAAGCAGAAGCAAAACAAGCAGCGAGCCAACAACAACAACAGCAAGAGGGTGGCAGCAGCGGAGACAGCAGCAGCAAGAAAGGGAAGAAGCCCAAGATTGACATTCCTGGCACGCTCAAGGAGCGGTTTCTTGTTCCTCAGGCGCAGGAGGCCAAGGCGGTGCTGCGAGACATGATCGTGGCGGCCCGTGAGGAGGAGGACAGACTGGCGTTGTAGGTGTTGGGGCACTGGAACACGCGTTACAGTGTGCGACAGTTGAAAGTTGGTGTGTTGTGATTTGTGCGTGTCACCACCCATGCCGCTCTCGCCCCATTTCACGCCATTGCCGCGTCATGTCAGTTGATTGGTGTTGAATGGTTGGTCAACTAGAGAGATTGACACACGAATGAACGAATCCCAAGTTGTTGTTTGCTGGAATGTGTTGGTAGTTGTGGTGTTTGTTTGATGTGATGATGTGGAGGAAGTTTTGATGCTGGGAGCGTTTCAGAGTCGATGATACACATAACACACTCTTTGCACCGAAAAAGTCAACGCGAAAGGAGAGCAGCAGCCGAGGGAGAGAGAGAGAGAGAACAGGACAATACAACTGACAAACAACAACAATAAGGCGTAGGGTGGCGATGAGGGAGGGAGCGGTGTTGAGGAGCATGGTATTCATGTGTGTTTTTGAGGGGTTGCCTGGGGGTAAGCTGTGTGCATCTAGTCCATGAGGTTGCGGAAGGCCTCTGTCATCCGCGTCTGCAGGTCGTCGTACACGGCCATCACTTCCTCCTGGGGCTTCTCCCACGTGTTCTGAAGGAATCAGGCGGGGAGGGGGAGTGTTTGAAGAGGGGTTCGAGACAAGGTGAGCAAAGCGAAGAGAAGGGGTCGGGGGAGGAGGGACAGGAGATAGGGAGGAAACGCGAAGTGATGGCACAACACGCACACGCACACGCACACGCACACGCACACATGTATACACACACACGCACACGCACACATGTATACACGCACACGCACACGCACACATGTATACACACGCACACACACCTGGAACTTCATTGAGCTGATTTCGTAGATGATGTCGTTCATCTGCTCCTTGATGACGGCAAGCGTCACCTTCTTGTCGCTGTTGGCCGTCGCCTCACACACCTCGCGCGCCTGGTTGTAGAAGCTGCAATCGGAACAAGACATTGGTTTGGAGGGTGGGGAGAGGAAATGAGGCGTTGATGCAAGCATTGGGCGCATCAGAGAGAAGAATCATCTGCATCATGCTTTCAATTCTCACACGATGACGCGAGGGCAAACCTGATCATGTTGCGGAGCATGGCAACAGTCTTCCAGAAGGGGCAGTAGCGATCGTAGGGCGAGAAACTGTGGTGTGTAGCATATGGGAGACGGAGGGTAAGGGTGAGGGTGAGGATGAGGTGGTTGAAAAACAGAAGACAAGGAAGCCTGAATAGCAGCAACACACACACACACACACACACACACACACACACACACACACATGTGCACACACATGTGCACACACATGTGCACACGGCTGAAAAAAAAAAAGCGCAAAGTAGAGGAAGGCGTGGTTGCAGGACGCACCCGTTCTGCTGGAGGAAATCGTCCTTGATGAGCTTGGCAACCTCGAGCGTGATCTTGTCGCGCTCGGCGAGGGAACCCTTACCCACAAGTTGCACAATCTGGCGGAGAGGAAGGGAATAGGAGGGGGGAAATGGTGGGCTTTGTTAGCAGGAAGGTTGAAGGAGGTAGGCAAGGCGAGAGTGCCAGGCAGCACACACGCACACACACACGCACACACACACACACACGCACGCACACACACACACAACCCACACAAAGCGCATGTTGGCAGACCTCGCTGAGGTCCTCCTCTTCCTGGAGAATCTCGCGGGCGGCAGTACGGAGGGCAGGGAACTCGGGGAAGTTCTTCTCATAGTAGCCATCCAACGCACGCATGTATCTGCACATCAAGGGAAAAGGGGGTGGGGAGGGTGGTGAGGGTGGTGAGGCGGTTGTTGCAGAGGCGAAGCAATGCAGTGGTGGTGTGTAACTGGCTGAAAGCACGGAATGTCGCACAATCAAAGGGGTTCACAGACATGAAACACACATACACATGCACACGTACCACGTGCACACATGTTTACGCGCTCCCGAACAAACACACACACACGCGCGCGCTCACAAAGGTTACGCACTTGCTGTATGAGATGAGCCAGTTGACGGATGGGAAGTGCTTGCGCTGGGCGAGCTTCTTGTCAAGGCCCCAGAACACCTGGACGATACCGAGGGTGGCGGATGTGACGGGATCAGCGAAATCACCACCGGGCGGGGACACGGCGCCGACAATGGTGACGGAGCCCTCGCGCTGCGGGGAGCCGCGGCAGACCACGCGGCCGGCGCGCTCGTAGAAGGAGGCGAGGCGGGCACCGAGGTAGGCCGGGTAGCCGCTGTCGGCAGGCATCTCGGCAAGACGGCCGGAGATCTCACGAAGGGCCTCGGCCCAGCGGGAGGTGGAGTCGGCCATCATGGAAACGTTGTAGCCCTGGTCACGGAAGTACTCGGAGAGGGTGATGCCCGTGTAGATGGAGGCCTCACGGGCAGCGACAGGCATGTTGGATGTGTTGGCAACGAGTGCAGTGCGCTTCATAATGCTCTCCTTGCGGCCGTCAATCTCAAGCTCGAGCTGGTTGTTTTTGTTGGGGGAGGAGAGGAGGTGTGGTTGTGAGGGGGTGAAGGAGAGGGTGAATGGGCAAAGTGGGGACCAGCAAGAGAGGTGTGCGTGTGTGTGTGTGTGTGTGTGTGTGTGTGTGTGTGTGTGTGTGTTTGTGTGTGTGTGTGTGTGTGTGTGTGTGTGTGTGTGTGTGTTGGTTGTTGACGCACCTCTGGGAACTCGGCCAAGACTTCGGACATCTCGTTACCGCGCTCGCCGCAACCGACGTAGATGATAATGTCCGAGTTGGAGAACTTGGACAGGGACTGGAAGGGCGGCGGCAATGGGAATGGCGTGTTTTGGGTGTGGAAAGGAGACGAGGGGCAGTGAGTCTCGCGTGGGGAGAGATCGGGCAGCGTGGCACGGAAAAAAGCGGGCGGGAGGGGCAAAGCGAGGTTTTGTGCGTGTATAGGTAGGTGTGTGCGCCACTGACCTGGGAAATGACGGTCTTGCCGCAGCCAAAGGCGCCTGGGATGGCGGTGGTACCGCCCTGGACGCAGGGGAAGAGGGCATCGAGGACGCGCTGGCCCGTGAGGAGCGGGTGGTTGGCAGCCATCTTCTCCGTCGTCGGGCGCATCTGGCGCACAGGCCAAATCTGTCGTGGTGTGTGTGTGGGGGGGGGTATGGGTAATGGAGGAGGAGCGTGGGGTTGGGGTTAGTATTCTTGAGTGTAGGGGAAGAGGAACTGGTGAATCGATAAGAGACGACGAAGGACAGAAGAAAAGGCACCGCGTGCTCGTTTGGGGTTGTTGTCATTTACCTGAAGCATGGTGTGGGAGGTTTCCTTGCCGTTGAACTCGGTCTTGAGGACGGTGTCGACGATGGTGTACTCGCCGGCGGGGGCAATCCACGTCACCTTGCCGTGAGCCTTGGGGCGGACCATGATGCGGTGCTCCCTGGAGATGAGAAGGAGGAGAGGGGGGAATTGAACGTGTGAGTGAGTGAGAGTGTGTGTGCGTGTGTGTTGAGTGAGGTTGTGGTGGGTCCGAGACGGGATTGACTGGTGATAGGGTGAAGAGCGAAGGCGAGAGGGATGGGGCATGTACGGGTGTGACAACGCACTTGATGAGACTGTTCTCCTCGACGGTGCCGTAAATGTCGCCGCCGGAGACCATGTCGCCAACCTACGACGGAAGAGAGGGGGTGAGTGGAGGTGGTGAGTGGAGGTGGTGAGCTTAACGTGTGAATGTGTGTGTGTGTGTGTGTGTGAATGGCCCCTCAACAGGCGTTGGCAGATGTTGCCTGGGCGTTGGCTGGGGCGTTGAAACTACCTTGACATCTGGGGAAGGGGTGAAGGGCCACTTCTTTTCGCGGTCGAGGGAGTTGACGGTGACACCGCGCGGGATGTAGATGCTCTCCGTCTGGCGCGTAATCTCGTCAAGAGGACGCTGGATACCATCGAAGATACTGTGGGCAAGGGAGTGACGTACAGAGAGAGAGAGAGAGAGGGAGGTGAGGTGAGCGGGCATGGATGGTAGTGTTGCAGAGATCGTCTGTGGTTGCGAGCGGACACACAGCGGGTGACAGCACAGGCTGCAGCGTGCACTCACCCGCCGAGGATGCCGGGGCCAAGCTCGACGGAAAGGGGCTTGCAAGTACGGTACACGGGATCGCCGACAGTCACGCCAGATGTTTCCTCGTACACCTGTGTGTGAGAGAGTGAGTGGGTGAGTGGGTAAGTGAGAGAGTGTGAGTGAGTGAGTGGAAGAGAGCGAGTGTGTGTGTGTGTTAATGAATGAGCGGGTGAGCGAGTGCGTGTTTGCGTGTGCGTGTGTGTGAGGGGATGTGCAGCGAGGCCACAGACAGACGGCACACCATCGCAGCCCGAACGAGCAACAGCAGCGGTGTGTGTTACCTGAATGGTGGCCTGGTCCTGCTCGAGACGGATAATCTCACCGACAAGCTTGTTGCGACCGACGCGCACCAGCTCGTACATGGCGGCACCGCTCATCTTCTCAGCGATGACGACTGAGTGGTGGATGAGCAGAAGCAGCAAACAAAACACAACATGGACACCAATGAGCCGTGGAAGGTGGAGGGTGGTGTGTGTGTGTGTGTGTTTGGCGGGGGATGTAATGGACGATTCACGGAACAAGCGCAGCGCTGTGTATGCGTAAGGGTGTGCATACGGACATACCGGGACCGGAGACGCCGAAGACGACGCCCTCCTTTGGGGCCTTGCCGTGGTCAGCCTGCATGAGCGTGGACAGTGTGTGTTTGTGTGACGCGTTGATGAGGTGGTGGAGGGGGAAGGAAGCGCAGTGTCAACAAAGAGGAAACGGTGTCGACAGAAGTGGAGAGGGGGAGGCAGGTCAGCTGCGAGCAGCAGGGCCAGCAGAGTCAGCGACACACGCACACGCACACACACACACACACACACACACACACACACACACACACACACCATGATGATAGGAGGGGGGGGGGGTTGAAGACGACGTGGGAGGTGGGATGTGTGGTAGTGTGTGTGTTGTGGTGTGGTCTGTGATGGATGCAGCCCACGCTCTTTTTCTCTCCAATCTCAAAATGGGCGAAAGCCTCCAAATTCGCATGCGCTGGAGATACCTGATTTGGGCCATTTCCTGAAGCTGAGTCCGCGAAATTCAAACGTTATCAAATCACACGACGATGGAGCGACAACGACAGGGTGGAAGCGGCGTTGGCGACAAGCTGTTGGCCAACGCTCGCAAGAGCGGGCAGCTGAACATCAGCGCGCGCGGGCTGGAGGCCATTCCACAGGCCGTGTTCCACCTGCACGAGATTCCGCCAGAGCAGACATCCCTTTCCTTCGACAGCGAGGACAAGTAAGTTAGGTGGAGGATTGGTGGGGGCGGGGGCGGGGGGGGGGGTTGTGTGGGGGGACATTGTGTGTGTGTGTGATTGTGTGTGTGTGTGTGTGTGTGTGTGTGTGTGTGTGT